TTTAATTAAAACACATTTTTTATGTCATAAATGTCTTTTGAATGTGAGCTTTCACTTAGATGATGGAAGGAATGCTGTGTAGCAAAACTATTATACAAGCCACTGTGTCACATATAATGATAATGAGATTTTAACAATTTTAAAAAAATGAAATATAACTATAGTTATATGTTTTACAGTTATAAATACTATCGATTTTAAGAGCGGGTGTACTCGCGGCCTTCTACCAGCGCTTTCTACAGTCATACATTTTTTTAGATTCAGAAAATAAAACGTCACATGATGTGGAAGCTAATTGTGTTTTAAACACTTTTTTTCAGAGAGAAAAACAAACCACAAACAACAGGAATTTTCTTCAGTTAACGCGACTGAAAGTGTAGACGCTACACTTGACATTTTTTATGCCGCATTGTTTGATCGTTTGTGGCGCTTTGAGCCAGTCGCCGTTTTTCCAACAGACCTGAAAGCAGCATCACGACTGGCTGCGTGAGGTGTGTTTGGCCGGGCAAGGACACTCAGAGGGTTGGAATGACATTTGTGTAAGTTACTAGTTTGTTAACTGATTCTGCGGCGACTGCTGTACACAATCTAACCGGAGACTTACAACATTTGGACGGAGCAGGGACTTCGTCTGGAAAAGATAACATGAGGATCTTTTCCAAACCGGTGGCTAGCTCATTGCTAGCTGTTGACTAGTTAGCATTGTAAGCTAACTGCCATTATTTGACTGTCACTGCATGTAACCAGCACTAGCTGAAGTCTCCGAGTTAATATCAGCGTTGCAGGGATACATGTTATGGTTTATGTTGCGATAGTTTCGGAGAAAATCCAGATGTGACCATACAGGGATGTCTGACAACTTAAAACGCAGCTGTGCCCCATTTAACCTCCGGAGAATATAAAAAATTTAAACATTTATTTTTCTAAGTTATTTAAAACAACAATTTGTACTGCAGTAATTGGATTGTGTCACAGTCTAAAACAAAATAGTCCTGAAATTTTTAGCAATGTTGTAGGAAGGAGTTGTAGTAATGCTGTTTTTAAACTTTATTGTGAAATGCTATAACCCAATAATTTCCTGTTACGAGTTATGACCTAAGAAGTGTCCACTCAAAAGGCGCTGTCAGCTGGAAGATATGCAACTGACAGGAACTGTTGAGACTGCTCTGTTCATTTTGGCTGTAGTGCATTTGAAGTTGTAAGGAAGAGGCCTGTGTTGAAGTGTTCACGTGTTTCACTGGATGCCAGCTGTCACCATGGAGTTTCTGATTATAAACGTGAGGTGTGCTGCAGGTCCCGTGCTCCTGGCAGTCTGAGAGAACCTCAGTTGAATGCCTGAACTGTAGAGTTTGTGTTATCTTGCTGCACAAATACCACAAGATTTATTATCACACAAAATCTTCCTAACACATGCAAT